ATTTTGCCAACAAGATAATCTTTTTCCATCATTTCTGCAAATACTCTGCAAAGATTAGCAGGCACTCTTCCAACTGTCTTTCCAAGGATATCGCATACCCTTTGCATAGAACGCTTCGAGCTTGCTGGCATGGTTTCCTTTTCTAACAAATGTTGAGGTACATTTGCAGGCATGTTAACCAGTATGGCATGCTGGTCGAATTTGTTGCCATGATCTCTGCAAACCTCCAAGGGTACTGCATCACATGGTTTTATTTTAAAAACGTGGTACCCTTTTATTGACTAATTGATGGTATTCTCTCTCCACTGATATTATTTTAGTAGGCTTGCCATTATTATTTTGACACAGACAAGAGTTTCAACCTTGGCCTTGCTTTCAACATATAACTTTCTTGACTAACTATTTACTTAACTATTTACTAACTATTGACTAACTAGAGCTTTTCGATATCTTATCTTCCAGGGGGTGTGCCTCTTCATGCAAAAAGGCTTTAAAAATGTCTCCTGTTCGGGGTATTAGGGCTATTATTTAACTCAGGCCTCAGAGGCGGATCTAGGGGGGTGCTATGGGTGCTTGAGCACCGGTCAGAATTTTCGGAGATATAACATTCAATGCATTTTCTCTAATCTCTGAAAAACGTCTTGAATCCTTTTAGATGATGTAAATGCATTTTCCAGTAAACTGATGACATACGGTCATGCTTTAGTTAGCATAACCTGTATCTGCTTTAAACTATAAATAGCTAGAAATTTCATGTTGAGCTGCCCTGGAACCAATTTTTTTACTTGTCCATCAAACCACACTCTCGGCTAATGAGCTACTTCAATTCTACGGGTGCTTGAGCACCCCTATCAATCAACCTCTAAGGTTAAAGTTGCAACTGAGCCAATCACATCACGCTCTGATATGTTTTTCCGCAATGTCGAGCACCCCTATCAATCAAAACAAGGCTTCAACCAATCCGTTTGCCAAATTTCGGCTCATCTGAGCACCCCTATCAACCATTTAATATACACTGGTGCATACCGTCACTGAAACGACTAAACCTGTTCGTGTAGCAGCAATGGCGGACATAAAGTCATTGCTGTTGCAGGTGTTCTCGGTAATTGGTTGCCAGTCGACTGAAGAAATTGAAAGGGAAAACGAGCTTTTGAGTATTCAGTCAATCGTGAGAGAAGTTTTTGATAAGTGCGTGGTGGATGGTGGTGTCGTGACTTGTGGGAATACACAGATCAATGAGTTCGCTGAACTGCAAATGCCAAAGGTTCAAGTACTGTCCCGTGGAAGTTCTGACCTTCGGCCTTTCTGGTTTGTAGTTTCTTTTACCAGGCTTTAAATGCAAAACGTTTTAACAGAATATTTCTTGGATTAATTCGACAAAAATATCGAATTTTACAGAGAAAAATGCGCACCCCCAAAAAAGTGGTGCCAAGGATTTTTGGTTGTTTGGGCGGTATGGTAATTACTACCAGAATGAAATCGATACCCATTTCTTGCCAAATGCAGATGACCCCAAAAACGTACTACTTCAACACAAGGTTCTTAGTAAAACAATCAATTTTTATCAACAAATTCTTACAAGTATTGATTTAAAGACATTGAGTCATGGTAAATAGGCCTTCTCTATAGGGGGTCATTTGGATTCGGCGTGATCGCTGCTGTTTCATGTGATACTTGCATCCGTTGTTGACAACTTGCTATTGATGGAAATTGTTTTGTCAATCAGTACGAGGTGAGTTCATGTGACCAGTTCAAGGTCAACCAATAGCATGGATTCATGAAAATCATGACTCAGCGGATTCTGGCACTTAGGGTATACCCAATCCATTTTATCTTGACTCAATGATATTCAACTCAATTTTCGTATAGTAATGGTCAGTTAACGTAGCAATGATTCATTTTGCTTTTTTTTGTTTGAAACATTTTAACTGCCTTTTTACAAAAATGAACCAGTGTCTGAATATTGCAGAGCAATCAAATATTGACTAACGACCTAAAATGTCATTCATTGATTAATGTGATGTACAATCTGCGAAGGTAGCAGTGTTATTTTTAACTAGCATTGCTAGCATATAGGCTTCTAACAAAAGAGATAATTTTCTATATAGTTATGCTTTATTACCTGAATTTAAAAAAGATTAATTTATCAAGATGGGTGTTGCCTTCATTTAACCGTAAGTAAAAGTGGGGTGTGGCATTATTATGGCTATTGAAGCAACGCCCTTAAGCACCCCTCAGATTTTCCGCTGGATCCGCCTCTGAGGCCTGTATTTCACCGAGTCATTTCTACAACACTGTTCCGTTTCAAGAGGATTGTCAAAGTAGTGCAAAAGCCGATCTTGATTTTTTTAAGCGATGAGTATTGTGTAATGCCAAAAACAGACAAATTGAAAAAAGGCTCTCAAAGAAGTTCACATCGGGGCTGTTTCAAAACTGCATGTGGATCGGCAGCTCACATTGGTTGGGATAAGCTTAATAGTCTTCATTCTGGATGCAAAATTGGTAAAGAAAAATTGAAGAAATTATATGACTTAGGTGTGATCAGTAAGAAAACTAAATACATTTGTAATGGTTGTTTAGAGTTGTCTTTAGTCGCGTCTGACATTGCATCTACTTCACATTCAAGTACGGAAGTTGTTGACTTGGCAGTTGTAGGTCCTAGTAGTGAAACTGTTGTGGAGTGTGCTAATGACATTGACGAATCTTTGGAAAGTATTAATGAGTAAATCGCAAAGGATGTGAAATTCTTGTATAAGGACAAAAATCTAATTTCAACTGACCATCTCCTTTCATACAATTCAAAGAAATGGCTAGATGAGCAACCAAAGGACCTGATAAATATAATTTCAAAACTTTGTAGTGTACCAAGAAGAGATTTAACAGACGAAAATAAATGGACTTTTTATTTAGCCCGGATAGTTGAGTTGATATATTCGGCAACAAATGCTAGGATTTTGCTGCCAATAGCTTTTTCGGAAAATCTTCAGACGTATTCCTTATCCCACAGCAAGCTCCTGGTCCAGTACAATAATAGTGTCAGCCCCGGCGAGTCCTATTCTTTCCTTCGAAAATGGATTCTGTCTGAGGCTAGTGAGCCTACACCAGTTCCTAAATGGCTTTTGAAATGCATTTTTGACAATGAACAGCTAATTGGGAAAACTCGCTTATTCCAAGCTGAAAAAAGGTTCCTACAAGTGTCATTACCAGCCACGCTTATCTCCAAAAAGACGCAGAGAGCAACGACGATAAAGCATAGCATTGTGTCCAAGAGTATGGTTTTTTAAACCACGCATTGAAAGCAATTTGAAGCAATTGCTTTTTTTCGAAAGACACGCAACATTTTTATTGAGGAAAGAAGACGATCTGTCTCCAAAGACCAAGAATATTGCGAAAAAAATAAGACATTCCTGTTATATTGTTGATAAAATGATTGAACTGAAAAGCGAAACACAACGTGAAAAAGTATGTTTAACATGTGGAGCTGTAAATGGTGCCAAGAGATATAAGTGTAGGAATGCCTGACTATAGCATAATTTTGAAAAAACTAGAATCGCTTGATTTGTGTAAGATTTTTGAGAGCGAAGTTCAATCGGTAGTAGCAGGTCAGCCTGACTTACTCAAGCCAAACAGTTACGAAAACATTTCCCAAATTTTACGAAATCTTCCAACGAGGGTGGGAATTAGTAGGTATGGGACAGGACTGCGACAGTGGATTATACTTGAGGTGGATGGGACAATATTCTGCATTGTAGAACAACTTATACTTAATACGCTATATTGCCCATCGTGTAAAACATCATTTTATGGCAACGAGGAATTCCAAAAGCATGGCTGCACTGACATTACACATGTCGAGCCTGAGCACGAGTTTGATTGGATAATTCTCCAGCCTGATTTGCTTCACACAGAAATCAGTAGCGGCAAAGCGTTTCATTGGCCTGAATTGGGAAATTTTTGCTAGAGATATATTTTCAACCCTAGGCTATAAAACCGAAAATGCCTTGAAGTACGCTAAGCGCTGCGGTGACCATCATAAGATGTGGCAGGTTATCGAAACAATTTATGTTGCTTTGGCAGATGAGCTACTTGTGCCATTTGTTTGCTCCCCAAAAGAACATGGTACAGCTCTGACAGTTGAAAATATTTGGATATGGGTGGAGCAAATGAAAAACCAAAATTACATCTACATTTACCAAATGGTCTTCACTTTTCTGCATGCTCTGTTTCTCTTTAGAGTAGGAGTAAGAAGGGGTTGCTTTTTAACTATGAACGCTGGTAAAGACAAACTCATTAAACTATTTTATGCCGGAAACCATCCTAAGTATCAAAGGATAATGGCTGTGGATTAGTTGTTCCAACAAAGTATGCTCGAAAAGGTTAAAGATATTATTCGATATTCATTTTGAACGAGCCGTGTAGGGCATGAAGGTTGTTACCAGGGAGGAGATGCCTGCCCCGAGGAGATAAACAAAAATGCCAAATCCTGGGTATCGCGTGGTGTACCTTCAAATGACGAATGGCTCAAAATTTTTTGAAATCTTGATAAGCTGTCTGAGGTAGGAAATTGAATTTATCATAAAATAAACTTGGACCCCCCTCACATGAGAAATTTCAGGTCGGTCTGAACTCAGATCGGTCTGAAGTTCATTTCAGTCTGCGGTCTGAGCCCTTGAGGTGCTCACATGAGAGTGTTGTAAAGTCGGCAGAGATGCAAAAAGGCAATTGTTTGCATTTTTTGAATTATTTATAAAAACATAACAAAACGAACAGCAATTTATTTAGCCATAAAAACTACAACCTAGTCTCTATCTCGATCACAGTGTCCAGTATCGAATTATGTGCAACACGCTGTTTTTATAACCTGCATAACAGGGCAGTGGCGTGCTCCGACAGGACATGAATGGGGAACTAAAGCGTCCCTTCCCTACACTAGCTTCCAGGTCCAGTCTGACCCGGCTGGTAGTACCTGGTAAGGGTTCCCTAGCTCAGGGTCACGAGCAATGGCCAACGGCGGAATCGGCGGGAGACCGGTGATGATGGCGGAAGAGCTACGACTTCGGGGATCAACGGCTTCAGGCGGAAGAATTCCTGGAAAGAGGGATGGTGTCCCTTTAAAAACACTATTCAGAAGGCCCTGGCAAACCACTGTCTTATTATGCCAAGAACAACCATGGATCATGCACAACCAACAGAAAAAAGCTAACAGCGTGAAGGGGACCGTATCCTTAGATACTGGTGCCTCGCTCGGTGAGGTTGTCCATGTGCGACAGGTGGCTCCGGACCGTCATCAATCTACTGTGCGCAATAATGAATCCATCAGAATTGGTACCTGGAATGTCAGAACTCTGTACCAAAGTGGAAAACTGGAGAACGTTACACAAGAGATGGCCAGATTGGTTATCCATATACTCGGAGTGTGGGAAACAAGATGGGATAACAAAGGCTCAACGGATTTTCAATCTTATGATTACAGAATTATACACTCTGGAGGTGAAACACATCAAAGAGGGGTTGGGATCATTCTCGACAAAGAAAGAGCAAAATGCCTGATGGGATACTGGGCTATTTCAGACAGAGTTATTCTAGTCAAGCTAAAGGGGCAACCTTTCAACATATCTATCATTATAGTGTATGCGCCACCATCGGAAAGCAGTGAGGAGGAAATCGTAGCATTCTACAACAAGTTAGAGGAAGCAAAATCACATTGTAAGTCTCAAGAAATTGTTGTCATAATGGGAGATCTAAATGCTAAAGTTGGTCAAGAAGCAGATGGAGAAGTAATCGGAAAACATGGCCTTGGAATACAAAATGAACGTGGTGAAAGATGGGCTCAATGGTGCAAAACAAACGGACAAATCATTACCAACACATGGTTTAAACATCATCAAAGGAGGATATGGACATGGAATAGCCCGGGCGGTCAATATAAGAACCAAATTGATTACATAACCATAAACAAACGCTTCAAAAATGCAGTCCAGCAAACCAAAACTTATCCAGGGGCTGACTGTGGGATTGACCATCGACTACTGTTTTGCAAAGTAAAAATAAAACTGAAGAAGCTACAACAAGGAAAAGCAACACCAAAATTGAACTATGAACTATTACAAAAAGACCCGGAAATTAAGCAAAGTTATACAGTTAAAGTGAAGAATAGATTTGAAGCACTGAGAGTGGAAGAAAAATCAAAATGGAATATATTCAAAGAAGCGTTGGTAACATCAGCGAAAGAAGTCATTCCAAAAAAAGAAAGACCTTGCAAAAGTGGATGACAGTCGAGATTCTAAATCTTATGAGAAAAAGACAATCTATCTTCAATAGAGAAAGCCAAGAATGCAAAGACATAGACAGGCAGATTAAATACAAATGTAGACAAGAGAAAGACTCCTGGTATAACAAGAAATGCGAAGAAATTGAAAGATGGGAAAGATCAAACTCACCAATAATGCACAATGAGATAAAAGAAATAATGGGGAAAAAAGCATGCTCATCTTCAGGTTGTATAAAAGCAAAAAATGGCGACCTCATCATGGACAAATAAAAAATGCTGGAAAGATGGACCGAGTATATTGGGGATCTTTTCCAAGATAATAGGGGCGAGAAGCCAGTTATTAAGAAAAACATCGATGGTCCGAAGATTCTAATATCTGAAGTGCGTACAGCCATTTCAAAGATGAAAAACAACAAAGCGGCAGGACCAGATGAGATCGTGGCAGAAATGGTTTCAGCATTGGACGATTTTGGACTTCAGAAGCTCACGGAATGCTTAAACGAAATCTATGATACTGGAGAAATCCTAGAGGAATTAAGCAAATCGATCTTCATCGCTCTCCCAAAGAAAGAAGGGGCAATAGAATGTGAGCTTCACAGAACCATTAGCCTAATGAGTCATATCATCAAGATTTTGCTCAGGATAATTATGTTAAGAGCAAGAAGTAGAATTATGCCTGAGATTGGATAGGAACAATGTGGTTTTGTCCAGGACGCAGGTACAAGGAACGCAATATTCATGCTACGTACGATGTCAGAGAGAGCCATAGAAATGCAAAAAGACCTGTATATTTGTTTCATCGACTACACAAAAGCTTTCAATAAAGTAAAACATGAAGAACTTCTGAAATTGCTAGAATGTTTTGATCTATTTGGGAAAAACATACGAATTCTTAGAAACTTGTATTGGGAACAAACAGCATGTATAAGAATTGGAAACGATAGAAGTAACTTTACCAAAATCCAGAGAGGAGTTCGCCAAGGATGCGTTTTCTCCCCAGATCTTTTTAATATCTACAGCGAGATGATCTTAAGGGAGATAGAAGGCATGGAAGGCTTCATCATTGCTGGGCATAATCTCAATAACTTGAGGTACGCCGATGACACGGTCTTAATAGCCCAATCTGAAGAAAAGCTACAAAATCTTCTGACTAAAGTAGTAGAAGAAAGTAAGAAAAAAGGTTCAACCATCAGTTGTAAAAAGACAGAATGTATGGTAATTAGCAAGCAATCTGACCAGCTATGCAGACTAAAAGTAGAGGACACTGAAATAAAGCAAGTAAAGTCATTCAATTACCTAGGTAGCCTAATAACAGACGATGGAAAATGCGACTCCGAGATCAAGCGCAGAATTGGGATGTCTAAGCAAGCTTTTCAGAAGTTAAAGAGAGTGTTGAAAGATAGAAAAATGTCGTTGGGAACTAGGAAAAGGATTCTACGCTGCTATGTTTATTCCATCTTAACATATGGCAGCGAATGCTGGACAATTTCAGCCGGTATGGAGAGCAGGATCGAAGCCGTTGAGATGTGGTTCCTCAGAAGGATGTTGAGAATATCATGGGTGGACCATATATCAAATGAAGAAGTATTGAAAAGAGCCGGAGAAGAAAGAAAGCTAAATAAAATGATTAGAAAGAGACAGGCCGAATTCATTGGGCATATCATGAGAAAAGAGGGTTTAGAAGAGATTATTATCACAGGCAAGATAGAAGGAAAGAGAGGAAGGGGAAGACCTCGGCTGAACTACCTGACAAGTCTCAGCAAGTGGATGCAAGATCAAGTTCCCGAGGAACAGCAAGGAAGGTATAAGGTCCAGAGTCTGATAAGAACC